TCCTCCCTCGAGCTCACTTCCTCAGCCAATTCCCGCTTGTCTTCACCTTCCTCAGCCTCTGTTTCCTCCAACTCCTATTCCTCTAACTCCCGTTTAGAATTATTCTCGAGTTCTTCATCAAGTTGTCTTTCTTGCATTTCTTCTTCTTGTTCTTCGGGAGATTCATGCTCCATTTCTTTTTCAGGCATATCTCTCTCCTGTTTCTCTTCAAGTTCTCTCTGTAAATTCCGGTAGAACATTTCCAACCCATTTTCCTCTTTCAACTCCCTTGCACCTTTTTCTTCCGGTATTTCTTCTACTTCTTCAGGAAGTTCCCTGTCCACAAGCTCCTCATTACTAAGATCTTCAGTCTCTCGGTTTTCTTCCCTTTTAGTCTTTTCCAATGCAAGCTCCCTTTCCAGTCTCTTTATAAAGTTCTTCACACTTTCTTCATCGCGGAAGTGTTCAAACTCTTCCCGTAGCGTGTTTTCATCCTCTTTCACCTCCTCACCCTCCTTTTCTCTTTCTGGAAACTCTCTTGCTTTGAGTTCAAACTGCGCGGGCATTATCGGAGGAAAGTTCTCTTCTTCCTCCTCTTCCAAATCAGGGCCTCTAATGCGAATCTCATTCTCAACCGGAGCTGAAGAAACCAGTATGAGAACTGAGCATAATAGGTGTGTAGTTTGGAGAAGCACCAAAACTACAAGAAAAAAATGCAAATACAGGAAAAAGTGAGTCGATCATCGGGCAAGTTATAGGTTTGTAGTGACGGTCAATTGAATAAGAGGGCGAACAAAAAAACCAGTGGGATCAAACTGGGAGACAGCGGTGGAAACAAAAATTAATCATGACGCTGGCCACAAAATTCTCATTCTTTTTAGCCAAATTATTTCTTTCCTACATTGTTGTTATCATTTTAGGTTTAGTCAAACACTGATCCGATAGGAAAGAGATACTCAATAATCAATGGTGACACGCGATAATTGTTTTTATTACACCACTCGGTAAGTCAAAGGGCCAATAACTAAAATCAACCAATCAAAATGCTCTATTGCCGGTCAATATTCTCTCAGTATTGGACCGGGCACTGTCCCGAATGGTCCCGAATGGTCCCGAATGGTCCCGAATGATACCGCACTTGTGTCACTTTGAACTTCAGTCGTGTAATAAATCTCTTTTTAACCAAGCTTGCACGGGACCGTACTGGAAGAATATCGGCCCTAGGTCTTCTTTGTACGGACCGAGCCCAGCGACTGTCCGAACAAAAAGACCTCAATATCGGCCCCTGTCAAGACCTCGGGCCGATACATTCCCAGTACGGCCCTTGCGCTTGGTTAATAAGATATATTTATATGGTTATTAACATTGTTATTATCATAATTTTCATTGTAATTCTCCTTTTTTGTTTTGTTTTTGCTTTTTTTTTTTTATTTTTTAGCCATTGGTAGGACGGATTTGTTTTACAGGCGAACAAAAGTAGACCTGATCAATGAATATGATTAGTGTTTAGAGCAGGAGTCAAAGTTTACTCATTTAAGTTAAGAAATTGCAATTTTAAAAATCTTATGAACTGCTATCATTGTTTCAAGCGTATTAGTTATCATGGTAGCGAGCTGAAGAAAACTTTATTGACGAAGAAATCCTCGGTATTTATGGAGGAATTTCATCAAAAGGGCAGAGATATACAAGAAGTAAAACTAGGCTTTTTTCTAAGCGTTAAAAAAGCTAAAGGTGACTGGCATAAGAAAACAAAATAATGACGAAGTAGTTCTCACTCATCTTCGAATTCGGAGCAATTAGTTATGAGCAATTTGTTTCTCACTAATCAGTTGTAGAGCGTGTTTTTGGTTAATATTATTTGTCTTCTTTTTATGAAAACCCATTTCGTTTTTATATTGAGAATATCCTTAATTTAGGTGTAGGAATATCCCCTCTTCATACTTCAATCGTTTGAAACCCGTTTTCTTTTTTTCGCTTCTGCTAGGATTCTGACAGTCAACTTTCTCCCCCTTTGTGAGTTTTTTAACATACCTCATTCTCCTATCGGTTTTTTTCAGAACTTTTCGTTTTCAGTCGGAGAAGAAAATATAGGTCGCGTCGAACATATGACAGCTTTGTCATCCCCATGGCGAGATCTATTTTCAAAGGTACATATTTTGTTCGTTCTCACTGGCAAAACATGATCCGGCAGGAAATCGTTTGCATAATTTTAAAACTCAGATCAACCCTCTACCGATTCACGCCAACTAATCTCAATAAATAGACGTGTGTGAACAATCCGGCCATTTCTACAGTAATATATTCGAACATCTCTACGACCGCAGTCAAATTTGTCACTTGACTGTGCTACTAAACAAATTAAAAAGAAATCACGCTCAAATGTATCCTAAATTTGATGTTTTTTTTTTTTTCGACGCTAAGGTTGACCCTGAGTTTACCGAAAAATCATGTCGAAACTGTAAGCTTGACGAGAAATACAAATAATATTCACGGCGAAACCTTTCGAGTGACAAACTTTGAAACGTCATGTAATTCCTTAATCGTTTTTTTTTTTTATTTATTAATATTTTTATTTTTATTTTTTTTCAAGGAGCTCATTTTTCAGAGTAAGACCATTTTTCCAAAATAAGCCAACCTGGACTGAAACATACAGTTTCAATTTGAGATCGACTTGCATTAACCTAAAATAAAATTGATTACTTTCGAATTTTCAAATTGAAGAAAATAAAGATATAAAACACGTTAGACTAAGAACCGGAAAAGAGCTAAAATACCAAAATTTAGCCGTTACAGTGATGAAACATCTGCTTTTTGAGTCAGTAAACAGCATCGAGAACAAATGTCCGTTTTAGAATGAAGTAATGTTTTTCCTGAGGCCGTCGTTTCAAGTTTGGGAGGCGAAAACAAATTGTATTCTTAGATTTAAAGGAAAAAAAACTTACACTGAAATTTTACCTACCTTTCATTTTAACGTCGAAAGATATGATCTTCTTGAAGATCTCTCAACTCCAACAGCAGAGAACAAGAGGAACTGCTCCCAACTGCCAGTGGCTTTCTTCTTTTTAAACGTTCTAAGGCGTAGGATGAAACTTGAACTACAAAAGATGGTTCTGGCGTAGCTATAAATAAAGCAAAACCAGCTGTTATCATTCCCATCAATTTACATTAGGTCCTTTGTTCGGCAAATTATGATTTTGGCCAAAAGAGCGAAAAAAACACTAATGCGCGAAATAATTTGCAGTTATTTATCAGTATTAGTATGTGGTAGTTTGTTTGCCATGGGAACTCGAAAGATGCGCACTAAAAATCGACTAGTTTTTTGTAAGACGTCCTAAAAATAAGTATGAAAGGGAAAAAAAAATTTTGCTATATATTCTCTCTTCATTATCTCGGATACCTTTGAACATATTTATTACTCATTACGGGAGGGAATTTTCATCAGCGGCAAAATCACACCCTTAGGGATGAGAGTATTTTTTAAGATCAAACTTCATGATTTTATAAGCAGAGGGAATGAAATTTTTCCGTTCTTTAGGTTTCATTGGTATTAATTACAAGTAAAATCTCTTTGACTTTGATGAGAAATTTCCACTAGAACATCTGCAATCCATTCTGAGAGCGATATACAGAAAAGATTCATTTGAGAGAAAAGGACTATTCTAGGCATCGATGTAATTGCGTACAAAATTGATCTATTCAGTGTAACGTTACAAGTAATGTTGGCACTTAACTCCTTTTCCCCTTTTTAAATCAAAACACCTCTCTCGGTATTGACGACTGAAGCTAGCCACTATAGATCACGTTCACGATCAGCATGCGCATTACCGTAAACGCAAACACTTATAACGCGTACGTCTCCAAGTCTTCCCAAAGACGTAAAACAATTTTAAGGATTTATGCGCACGTAATCGTGAAATACATCATGATTTTTTTTTTTGGAAAGGACGTTGATTATTGAGGAAAATATTTTTGTCTGTACTAGTTAAGGAGTTAATAACTGCTTTTCCTAACAAAGTCTACGTGTTAATGAATTGCTCTGCATCCTTGAAAAGAATCCTCTAACTTATTAAAAGAACTGGAAAGTTTACATTTGTCAGTCATCCGTCGTGAACCAAATTTTGCAATCGTCCCCCCTTATTCACCTCTATACCTTGTCGTAGATTTTTCCGTGATGAAACGTAACAATATTTACACAAACTTACAACTTTTCTCGTAAAAATAAATCATCTGTTCGGACTTGCATATTAAACCAAATTCGCCAGCTCACGAATTCGAAGTTCACCATATTGACATTAAAAAAGATAGCTTTAATGGTTAAATATAGAGATTCGAGTTTTTAGTGTCCTAGAAATGTTACAGAGAACCATTGCGTAGTAACGACTTGGATAAATTTGACCTCTCACCTTGATCGCAAGCTGAGAAGTTTATGAGGCCACATCTGTGAGGCTCGTAACAGATGGCCAATCAAATTGCGAGAATTAATTTTCTATTTGCTGCTTGATGTGACGCCATCCATTGGTAAGTAAACAGTTTAAAGCGACCCATCAATTATAGTGAACTCTTAAAAGAAACACTCTATCTATCTGTAATGTAGGTTCTTTGAAAAAATAAATAAAAACAGTAATAATAAAAAAAAAGCTCTTGAAAAGTTTGCCAAACTGTCAGATCTTCGATCAAGAAATAATAATGATAATAATATCCACTATTTCTCCTTGGCCTGGTTATCGGTCATTGGCAGATCAAACCAAACACAGTTCGGGTGAAAATCGAGATCTTTTTTCCCGATGAGACCGCTGCACTCGGTAGCGTGAGGGCGGACGTTAGAAAATCCTCCCCCTGTCATGCTCGCAACCAGATAGACGCATTGATCGTAGAAAGAAAAAAATTGAGGTGACAGAGCTTTTCCCATCCTGTCGTCGCAGATTTGCACCATGTAGGAGTATTGGTCGCAGGTCACAACGCAAAACATAAACCGAGGAGAGTTGGGTACTAAACTATGCTGCTTAGATACAAGATGGCGTCCTGGCGAGTGATCATGACCTAACGACTTTTAAAAATTATGCTTCTAATCGGGATCGAAAACCGATACGATGATTTTTTTTTTTCAACGACTTAGTGTATCTGAAATGGAATATTCAAAAGGAAGAGTAGTTTAAAGCTTCAGAGAGGGGTAGTATTTTCCCAAACATTTCTAAAACGCCTCTAGGTCTTTGGTAGAATTGAATCCTCAAAATGGCGCAGAATTTGGCCGTAGATTTGATATTGAGGACCTTGATGAGTTCCCCTGAGTTCAGGGAATCGGAAAACAAAAACTGGGAGGGAGTAGCCAAGCTTATTCCTGGAAGCACTGCACAACAGGTTTGTATTCGACCGAATAGTAAATATATATAATGATGGTACATGAAATTCTGTGTTGATTTCGGTTTAGATGAAACTTCTACAAAAACCTAGGTAAATTCTGTACGTTCTGTGATAGAAATGGGTTATAAGCAATCTGTAAATCTGATGGGTGCTTTACACTTAAGACTGGTTCATTGACTGTTGCAGTTCAGTACAAAATTGTTTGATTTTACTTGTCTAATCACAGGCTGCTTCAATGCGATCAGACAGGTCAACTCAGACATTTCATCCCTGAGTACTTCCTGAATTTCACTCTTCTCACACTGATTTCCATACACTGTCCCAAAACTATTCTAAAACCCATAGCATTAGTTAATGTACCTAAGGTAATCTATTGTATTTGCTATAGTTTTCTTTTCTCAAAACTGCTACACGTAGAGAAGGATGGGTTACATGGAAATTTTTCCCACTTCTCATTCTTATTATGATATGAACTGAAGAGAGAAGTGAGTCACAGTTACTCTTAATTGCTCTTTGACTGCAACATTTTCATTTGCTTTCCATTCTACAAGCTGTTATGAAAATGTGTTGTTTACTGAAAGCTTATGATAAAGGTGCCATTTTCTGTTGAGGGTATCAGATAAAAATAACAACTTGGCCAAAATTGGATAGTTTTATCGCTCTAGTAGCAGAGACTTTTTTTTTTTAGAGTACTGATAGTAATGAGCCATCTTTCAGTGTGCCAAGAGATGGACAGAAATCCAGCAGACCTCAACAGTTACTGCAGCTTTGTCGCATTCTTCTTCAGACTCTAGACACCTCTCCAGATTATTAAATTCTGTTTTGCATTTTTCTGATGGAAAAGAATTAGCAAATGAGACTGTGCCAAAGGACATAGTAAGGAACAATGCAGAATCAGCTTCAGTTAAAACCCACAGCTCTCTAAGTCAAAAACTTCAAACCAATATGGAAGCAGGTATATTAAAACAATAAAAACACTAATGTGGCCTTGAATTACTGTAAAATGCTGTAGAAGTCCAAGCTTTCACTGCTCAGCGGCATCATCAAGGATGGATGATCCAAATGATGCCATTGAGCACCGAAGGTTCGAACTTCTAAAATATTTTACAGTATTTCAAGGCCAAATTAATTAGTATTTTTATTTTGTTATCCAAAATTTTACTGAAGGACAACATTCAAAGATTGACAGGTATATTAAGCGGTGGGTCACTAATTCTATCATTCTTTGAAGCTGCAATAATGGAATAGCACCAACACTGTTGCAGTGCATCTGCTTTGTTTGATGGGAAAAAGTTGTTACTCAAATGTGACTACTTGTAATTAATATTTGTGAAAAATTGGGACCAGAGGAGTGTGTCAGGATAGTGAAAAATCCGGATAATTGGGGTCTGTATGTGTATTTTTCTTACATTGGATCATGAATATAGAGGACGGAAATGTTTGAACTCAACATCCATTGTCTTTTTCTTTTCTTTTATGAATTCTGTGACTTGGACATCACCAAGGACTTAACAAAAGGTAATCAAATTGATACAATAATTATAATTGATATATACATCTGCATTCAATAACCAGCACTAACCAGTCAGATGGGTCATTAAATATTACTTTCGGTTTTACCTTGAATATTGAGATAAAATCACTTATTTTCAGGTTATCAGAGGCAACATTCTATGTAGAAAGTAGTGAAGAATCATTGTCAAAGCAGGTACCAATCTATCAACTGAGGACAGACTGTATTGTGTAAAACTTTTTATTTTTTTCTCATCATAATTTGTGCAATTCCTGATAACCATCTTGTTTACTATTTAGAGATCTGTTCCTAAACGTCAACCTTCAAGATCAGCCTCGTCACAAGCTTCTAATCTGGAGCCATTACTGGGGTAAATGTCACGTTGTACTTAACCCCTATTACTCTCAGAAGTGATTAACATGTAACTTCTCCTTATAATATCCATACAGTATCCTACAAACAGGTGATGAGAGTACCCAAGCATATCAGGTGAAAGTTATGTTGATTGAAAACCAAATTCTTGTAACCAATTTGCAAGGAAATGTGTAGCAGCTGCAGGGCAGAATTTACAATCAGATCAAGGGAGTTAAAGGGTCTATTAATCTTTAACTTAGGAGAGGAGTTTTTTTCAGTTCTAAGGTTCACATTAGTATTCCAACCTGTGACTCTTTGGGTTGCTATGGGAAGTAGGAAAATGCTTGGAAACTGAATTTGCAACAAATATTAAGCTGTGTCTTGTAATGGTTGTAATAAAATGTAGCACCTTGTTTCATGCATTTTAGGAGACATCCTTCAGCAAATATGATGTTTTTTACTCTCATTTCTTTTTAATAACTAGGCCTAACATGGTAATCCACGTGTGTGATGAAAGTAAAAATTGTAAGTAGTCATTTCCTTGGATCATGTTTACTGTGGGTACTATTGACCTGTATAGCCGTTGATATATTGGTAGAGATCGAGTGACTCTTGACCGATATGTCGGTAGATGTGTCGGTAGACTTGGTCGACACTTGGTCAATAATCAGTTGATAGTTGGCTAATACTTGGCTGAGACTTGGTTGATAGTCGGTTGATTATATTGGCTGAGATGTATGTTGGCCAATATATCATCCAGCTCTTGACTGATACATTGAGCGATATATCTGTTAAGAGTATCTATTATAGTAAACATGATCCATTTTCTCAACTTGTATAATCTAAAACTACATACATCTTAAACCTTACTATGTATTACAGAGTACAAATTAAATTATTATTGGTTTTAGGAATTAAATACTAAATCATTTACTAATAGTAATTAATTTATTGATAGATTTATCAATGTCACTACATTATTTTCAGTAAAACAAGACTTCACATGTCCAAGGGATCTGTTGATAAGCGAAATGAAATACTTTGCTGAGTATTTATCAGTAGAAGCCCAACGATGGGAGGAGGTCGACATTTCTGTGCATTGTGATGTGCAGATCTTTGATTGGCTGATGAACTATGTCAAAAGACGAATTGTTGATAAGAGCAAGTTGAGGACTGAGGAAAAGAAACCAAAACTTGGTGAGCCATTAGATATTGAGAGTATTGTCCTCAAAATTTGCAAATGAATTATTAAATTAATAATTTAGAGTTTGATGTGCCAATTAGAGTGAACGATGATAAAAGTGATCCTCACAAGGGACCTGTCACAGTGATTAACCTCTTAACTCCCATGAGTGATCAAGAAAGAATTTCTCCTTACAATATCAATACAATATCAAGCAGATAAGTGAAGAGAAATGAAGAGAAAAATAACAGCTACTTAAGGCTGATCCAAAATAAAATTGTCTGAACTAACACCAAAAGAATTGTATGGCACACAGGTAGGGGAATTACTGTTGAGATCTATAGGACTGAAAGGGTGAAAGAAAAGTCAGAAGATGAAACCCGAAACAAATTCAGGATTGGATGAAGGTGTGAATCTGGGCTTCACAGATGCAGTTCATTTGTAAAGCTTAGTTTTTCACCTAAAATATTTCATGATAAGTGTCAATTTACATATATACCTACTAGTTAATTCATAGTATTCAACTTAAGGTATCTGATATGCAAGTATTGAAAGCATAAAACCCATAATTGTATTAATTTTTCAATTTGATGTTCTCAGTTCTTACATTTCTTTCTTCCTTCAGCTCTAGGAATTTTTAGAATAAATGGATAAGTTTAACCTAAAAATGTCCTATTTCCTTCTTTACCAACAGAACCAAACAATGTTATATCCATCTTGATATCTTCGGACTTCCTAAAGATGGATGCCCTGGTAAATAATGAAATTTTTCAGGCAGGCTCTCATTCAGACAGGGCCTCATTCAGGCAGGCCCTTATTCAGGCAGGCCCTTATTCAGGCAGGCCCTTATTCAGGCAGGCCCTTATTCAGGCAGGTCCTCATTCAGGCAGGTCCTCATTCAGGCAGGCTCTCATTCAGGCAGGTCCTCATTCAGGCAGGTCCTCATTCAAGCAGGTCCTCATTCAGGCAGGCCTCCATTTTAATTTAATTTAATAATAACTTCTAGAGCGCTTTTTTCATTCAATGATCAACAGCGCTTAACAACTTAGAATACTACAGTAAATTCAAATTTATAAAACTAATTACATGTACATTAATATTAACAATGTATGTTAAAAATAAGAATAATATGGAATATCTATAATAAGGATCTTAATTAGGAATAAGGATCTTAATAAGGAACTTAATTAGTAATACTAATAAAAGTAATTGTCAGACAGGGTACTTTGAGAAAGCTGCACGAAATAAATAAGTTTTCAGCTTACATTTAAAAATGGAAAATGATTGAATATCACGTAATTCAGCTGGCAGAGCATTCCATAAGTACGGGGCAGCAGCAGAGAATGATCTGTCCCCCAACGTGGCAAGCATTTTCCCCTTAGGAGGGTCAAGTAATAAACTTTGATTTGATCTAAGATTATATACAGACCTAGGCTTGATGTTAATTAGTTCAATGATATACCTAGGCGCCCATCCATGAATAGCTTTAAATGTTAAAATTATGATCTTAAAATGAACACGATGTTGTACTGGTAACCAGTGAAGTTGACAAAGCGCAGGAGAAATATGCGAATACTTACTTAAACTCAGTACAAGTCTAGCCGCAGCATTCTGCACACGTTGCAATTTGGCTATTTGCGACTTAGGAAGGCCATACAAAAGTCCATTACAATAGTCTAAACGACTAGTGATAAAAGCATGAATAAGCGTTAATAACGAATCGCGAGATAAATAATTCTTAATCCTCCTAATATTATGTAGGTGATAAAACGCGGAATTACAAATTTTATTAACGTGCGTTGACATAGACAACTTATTATCAAACCATGCACCGAGATTTCTAACACAGGAACTAGGATAAATATCACAATCACCTACGGAAAT